AGCTGATAAGGGTGATGATAAATCATAGCGCTACTGGTACAAGCATTGGGTTTGTTTCTGAGGACACCTGCCAGTTTTAGATTTTTTCCCACTATTCATGAGGCTATTCCAGGAAACAGGATTACTGTTTCCTCTCTTCACAGTCCAATTTCTTCACGGGATGACATTGAAGAGATTGGACTACATCTTACATATATGCATGTATAAGACTGTATTAAAAATCCTATGCAATTTTAATTCTGAGCAAAAGTACAGATGTTAGTTTCTGGACGAAATGTATAGTTGTCCTTGTTGGAAACTTCCTTGTTGGAGCTGTGAATCCTGTAATATTTTCTAACCTTTTCTGCAGATCCCTCCAGGCCAATACAAAGAGGAATATTTTCTTGTGTTATGGAGGTTTGGTTCGGTTTGGTTTTTGCTTTGCTTAGTTTTGCTGTGTTTAAGAGTGGCAATGTACGTGGTACCCCTGGCACTGCACTTTGGAGGCTGAGCCACAGGGACGCTTGGAGCAATTTGTTTTAGAAAAGAAGGAAAGGAGTCGACTCCTGCTTTATTGGGGAGACTGAGACCACCATGTCCTCAAGTTCTCTCACATAATATTTGGAAAGAGAGCAAAAACACCTAGAATGCTTGCAGCTGAAACCAACTTGTTTAAAACTCATACTCTTTAGCAATGCTTTACGGACTGGTATGTCTATCATCTCATATACTTGATATCCCAATATTAAACATAGGGAGTGCACAATTTGTTCATTCTGTGTGGGAAACTTGAATTGAGAGTCAAGACTAGTTAAACTCATTCCTCAGTGTAATACCACTGATACAGTTAGTACCAGCTTCTTCTTTTTTTTGCCACGTTAGCGTTATGGCTCCAGAGATGGCAATGTTGGTCTGATAGGGTCGTCAGTCAGTCCACCACTAAACTATCTCAACAGCTTTTGGATGGATTGCCATGAAATTTGTTCTAGAATTCATGGTCCTCTGACATTTCTTTTAGCACAACCAGCAGATCTGAGTTTTCATTTTCAACACTGACTGGATGATTTGGAACCAACATTTTCTACAGATCGCTAGGGTTCCCTGTTGATGTAACAGCTTTTTGAGATCCTCTTACTTTTCCTCAGGCCATCCATCTTCCATCCTAAGTTTGACATTTGTCATTAGCATTGCTTCTTGTCTAATTATCGTCACTTTTACCAAACTATATGAAGCAGCTCAGGAACACATTGCGCTTGTTACACAAAACTAAAATGATTTCAGCCTTATCAGTATCAGTTTATCAACTATGGCTTGCCTTGCAAAGTAGTTGTAGTAACACAATTGAGTTTCAACATTTTGAAGTTGAAGTGAAGTAACAGCAGAAGTAGCATAAAGACTACACTATATGGCCATCGCTATGGGTGTCACATTTAAATTAAACTTAACAACTTTCGTCAGTCATATCCTTGACAAGGACCTATACACACAATGCCGGCACAGATGTTGCAACTGCAATATTTCATGAGGCAGAGCACAATTATTTTATTTTTATACTGGTTTAAAAAAAGAATACTCTTTATCGTCCCCATAAAGAAGTCAGTGCAGCTGTATAGAAGACAATACACATGACAATGCTAGACAACAACATGAAAATGAAATTAATTCACTCTCCCGGCAGCTACAGCTGTGACAGTAAAAGCCAGGCCCTCTGTTTGATGAAATGTAGGCAATTAATGAGCTCCATCAACTCAAGAAAGAAGAACAACAGAGAATCGCAACGTCAAATCAGCCTCAGTCTTTGAGCTAGTTGACTTCACACATGATACCTCGGCGCCACAGTGATCCACACAATTACATAAGACATCCAAACAGTCTTTTCAGCTTCTTGCAATGGAAGCGTTCCAAAGGAGAAAGAACTGTCAAAGAAAGGAAGCAGGAAGAAGGCAGCGAGGACATGATCTGCAGAGATGGTGGGTGGGGTAGGACGCAGGAAGTAAAACGCACGCACATACACACATGAACAGATTCACATACACACACGGTAGCTTACATGACAAGTCATTATCTGGCATCACCCAGAGGAGACAGAAGATTTGCAAAAGGGAGGAGGGACTTAAGTTCGAAGGCATGGAGGAGAAAAGAGCAAGAAATGTAAAGGAGAATGGAGGAAGAGGAAGAGAGCCGTGGAAAGGGGTTGGTGACGGTGGGGGGATTTGGTCTTGATCTAGCAAGTGCAAAAGACAGATTGGATTTTGTTGGCATGCATTTTGAGCAAAGGCATCTTGTACTTAGAGACCTTTTTGCACATTTGTAATCACTTCTCCTGTCTTGTAGCAGAGTTGTATTTATAGTTACACGCATACCCATACCAGTCATGTATGGCTACTGGCTTTGGAGTAGTCACACTACAGCAGAGCCAGAGGTAGCTAAAGATAAGTGGTCTTGAACATTGTAAACACATCTGTGGTTGAATTAACAATCTATTTTCAGCTCTCAAACCTTAATTTTTTAATTTTTTAATTGGAATTAATAAATAAAGAAAAATTAACAATCACAATAAGCACTGTCTTATTATCATTGTTTAAAAGAAGTGTTGCTTTCTGAAAAAAGGGATTGCTGCTTTATCCTATTTCTTAAGCTAAATAAATCATTTTAAAACCCACTGGATTATCTGAAAATGCCTCATCTCAAAGCTGAAAACTGTGCTTCTTTACCCAAAATTGATGTTTTGAAGATGGTTTTCACAGGCCAGCAATGTGATGTAAGTTTAGGTTGGGTTGGGGAAGAAAAGTAATTCATGTATTATATGAGACTGGGTTGCAAAACAATATGAAAAGAATAGGCAGAAAAAATGTAACAGTCATACAATTTTAGGTCCATATCGTAAAACCCCTCTATTTTGCACTTTAGACCAACGTTGGCCAGGGTACGTTTATATGAGACTGGGTTGTCAAATACGTGTAAGTGTTCGTGTGTGTGTGTCTGGCAATGAGTCAATGTGTGGCGAAAGAACAAAAAAATTTTGTTTGTGACGCCGTCGTGCCAATGTTTTCTTCTTTTCTTCACTTTTCTTTTTTTTTGAGTCTGTACTTGGAACGTGCTCCCCCTAGAGTTATTGTAGACCGTCTAATCACCAGTACAGATAATCAACTAAATATTATGTTTTATTATATGGTACTGTACTGTAGTTGTGTCCCCCTTTACCCCCCTTATCCCTACCTACCGCCTATGTTATCCTTTTCCCTAATATTAATATATTATATGAATTAAATCAGATTAAAATAAATTACAAGGGATAAAATAATAATAAATATGGATGGGATGTTAGAGCATGCATGTAAACTCATGTTACTGAAGTTTATAATTCTAAAAGATATAAAATAGACTGTATCCTGTATTCACACAGACATTTTCTGTCTGTGGCCATGGCCACCACAGGTAGCAGTGTGTGTGGATGAATCCTGATAGATCCCCATTACCCTGGGTGTGACCCCTCGCAGCTCAGTTCATTAAGCCAGCCACCCAAGTGTTCGGGACTCAAGTCCAGATTTAATCACAACTTCCATCCTCTTGCCAATCACAATTAGATCCTGATAAGCCTCTCCAGGATGGCACCCGAGGGCCTCCACACACAGACAAAGGTTAATTTGCGAGCAGCAAGGGCCCGGCTACAAGGCCAAAGGTCACCTGATTGAATACATGGAGGATGTGTGTGTGTAAGATTGGGGGGTGGGGGGGACTTGGCAGCAATTACGAAGTTCATCAGTATTCATGCGTTTCATTCATGGCTAATGGGTACATTACCTTCAAAGAGGTGTGCTGATAGGATGTGGCCCTTAATGGGAAATAGCTGGTGGGTAGTCTTTAGGTGGCTGAAATTTAAAAGTAATTTCTTCACAATTGTCTTTTAAAGTCTCTTCACACATGCAGCTACATCTTCGTGCTGTTCAGTACCACCACAGTGTTCATCTGTTGGCCTCTGAGCAGTTCCACTGGAACTGTTCAGGGTTAAGGGTCTGTCAAACCTTACAGAATCCACATCTCTTCTGAGATAAATGTGATCCAATTTGCAATCTTCATGACTCTACTGTTACACCACATTTTAACATGTCACAGATAAACATTTCAGTCATTTCAGACTCAAGAGAATCTTGAAAAATCAAGGGAGATGAAGTGTAGCTGCTCAGCGAATGTTAGTTTGCTTTAAATGGATAGGCTGTGTCTAAATTGTTATATAATTTATATATTCAAAATTAGAATGAAAAGTCTAAAAACACATGGCAAACTCATGCCACACCGCTTTCATCCTTTTATCCAAGGCACTCAAGAGGCAGTGCTCCCGTTGTGTCTGCCGTTACTAAGAAACCAAACCTGCGGGTTGCATGACAATGATGATGTAGTGGTGGTAATTTAGCAGTAAGCCTCACTGACTAAACTAACTGAACTAATTAAAACTCAAACAAAGATGCATCGATTTTCAGCACTATAAATCGCTCCTAGTAGCTTTACTGCTCGATTTGTGTGTGGAAAAGAAAAAAAAACCTTTAATTAACTTGACAGGTGATACAACTCTGCGTATCCCAGGACGAATATAATCAGCTGATCTTCGGTTTGGCTGACCTTTCAAATGCATGTTGCTACGTCCTTGTACAGCAAGTCCCGTGGGTTAATTCTTGTTACATGACCTGTGGTGCACTCACTGCCTTTGAAAAAGTTGAGATTTTTTCATCTCGTTGTGTCGCAACAAATGCTTGTTGCAACAGTGTTAAAGACCGGCTGTAGCTAAATACATGCACAACTACAGTACACAGACTTGTGTTAATGGTTCCAGTGAAACCCCCTCCTTTGAATTGGGTCATGTCTGTGCCGTGCCCAGCAAATTGAACTACAAAGGATTATGAAAAATAACCTGAACGTGTGACAGAATCCAAATTTAACAGAAGAGACAGACTAGTTCATTTTGCCCTGTTTATGATTTCATCTCTCTGACCTCGCATTCTGTGGTGCAATGTCATTTCCAGGCCAGCTGGCAGCGGGGACATGTGAGATTGTGACGCTGGACAGGGACAGCAGCCAACCACGGCGGACCATCGCCAGGCAGACGGCCCGCTGCGCCTGTAAGAAGGGCCAGATCGCTGGAACTACAAGAGCCAGACCTGCCTGTGTGGACGGTAAGAGGAAGGGGGGATCCCGGCTTAGCTTACTTTCTTTAAGGGGCCACTTCAGTGAAAAGCAGTCAAACATGAGCCATGAGCAATTCTTTTTCCTGAGGCATGTCTGACTTTTACATTGAATCATGTTGGTGCTGAAGTGCATGAAGACCATTATAAAATTCTGCCATATCAAAGCGTTGAATCACAGGGCAGTGGAGGTTTTTAAAAAGGGGCTTAAGGTGGATAAACCTACAATGTGGAGCAAAGTGGATCACAGGGCTGTTTTTGTGATGTGAAGCCTGTAACGAATCAATTTACAGTTGAATCATTTTTAAAAAGTGCCCGCAGGGGGGTTTCTAAATCCCCCACCAACAGATGGGCTTATAGTTCATGGAATAGTGACACTATTTTTGGAATAGTGTCTGTTTCAGCACTGTTTGGATGCGTTTGTGTTATTATTATCATTGACAGAAGATTAATTTGAACAATTTTGACAATCGATTCATCATTTGTCAAAGTTAAAATGCCAAAATCTCACTGCTTCCATCCTCTTAAAGGTGAATATTTGCTTGTTTTCTGAGCCGTCTATGATCATAATTTACATTCTGTACCTTTGGGTTTTGAAACAAGCTACTTAAACACAAGGTTTTTGTTACATTTTACAGACCAAACAATTTCTAAAATAATTAATCTACTGAATGATTGTAAAGATTTGCAGAAAATAAAGCCAAATTCATGTTGAAATACATCACATATTCTACACACTTGTCTAAATACAGGTCTGTAAAAATCTCTTTTCCGGTATAAAGTGCAAATATTGTCACTGTCCTGTGAAAACCATGTATCTCCAAAACATCCACTTTTTACCTTTACAGTGATTCTTTCAATTTCGGACATGGTTTTCACAGGACAGCAATGAAGAGAGAAACGAGATTTCAAAAAAAAAATATATAATACTGTTGTACCTTGTGTACAATGGAGAGTAAGCCAGTGGAGTCTTATTAGTTGGTTGCTGTGGCTTCCTCACATCTAATAGGGAAGAAGCTTTGAGCCATTTCTGTGGTCACCATTCAGCCTCCATGACAGCTCAATGAATTTCAAGGAATCTTCAGATGGGGTTGAACGATGGTGTGACTCTGGCTTTTCTTACATCTCTTCATGACATCTTCATTGCCGTTCCACTGTCTCCCAGGGTGCCTGTCACTGAGCCTCTATCTCACACGATGTGGCCTCTGGCCTGATGAGGGAGGGGAGAGTATGTGCACAGGTGAAGGCAGATAAACAGCTCTGTTAGTTAGTGCAGTGAACTGTACCTTTGGATGTCTTATTTTTGCCTGTGATTCAGCTGTGGCTTCACAGTTGTGTCTCCGATTGGAGGAGCTGCCTATCCTCAGTGCGCTGTGTGACTGGTTTTACCTGCTGATTATGTGAGGAGAAGGCTTTCCTCCATGTGTAAGAGGACGGAGGCTTATAACTATTTGTGTGGCAGGCACAGATGAACATGACACTGGAGATTTGACCTTTCTCCAAATTCAATTTCTTCCTTTGGCTAAACTGCTTCACACAGAGATTTGCGCGCTTCGTCTGAGTCCTAGAAAGAAAAATCTGATCCTGTAGACATGACCACATGCCCACCTGCACTGCCGAGTCACTTTGCCAGTGAATAAGTTGTATGGATGTTGCATAAATCCACAGTATCCCGATAATATCAGAAGGTATTTGTCACAACGTGGGCTCCATGGAGCACTGTGGCATTTCGTGTAGGCTAGATACCCTCTTTCTCTGAAGAGAGCTTAGGCTTATCAGCTGACTTTTTAGAGAGACCTGCACAGGTGGGTGGCAGTAAATAAATAAATAAAATGAACCTGAAAATGACATTTATACAGTTTACTTTTAATTTAGAGATGTATTTATATAAAATAATGACAATAAAATGTACTAGTGCTGTCATAAACTTTGCAAGGAAAGCTTATCTGTGTACATTTCATATACACAAGCAACTTTAAGTACTTGACACAAAGAAGATGCAGCATAAAACCTTAATCCTAATCAAGATGTTAACCATTTTTAAGAAATTAAAAAATCAAAACAGATAAATAGATAGTAGATAGGTGCAGGTGTAAGTGAAACATGAATAATGATGATGGCGAACCTAAAAGCTTTTAATCTGAAACGAAATGTAGTCAAAGCTTGTCTAATATCTTCTGTAAGTTTGTCCTAGTTGTGTGGTGTATATTACCAAAATGTTGCTTTTCCATGAAAATTTGGACTCTAAGAACCTTTAGCAGACTGCTACCAGGCAACATCATATACCCGATGTATTTTGTTTATATAGGGTATTGAGACATTTATAGAAAAGCGGCAGTTATTTAAAAAGCCAGTGGGAAGTCTGTGTTAGGACGATTATGAGTCATTGTAAATTACATATATATTATATATTGAGGCTGAGTCTTTTTGAACATTTTCGAATTGCTTTTAATTGATTATAAATACACCTTTATTTAACATTAAATTACAAAATAATCACAGAATACAGGGAACTCAAAATCACACGCAGTTACAGCAATTGCTTATAATCATTTCCAATTAATATTTAATTTTAAACTTAAGAACGAGTGTCGGGCATAAGGGGCTTGGTGGTTATTGCACTGCTGCTGTCAGCGAGGAAGCGCTAGGGTTGAATTTCGACCTCTGTGGACTGGGTTTACCCTGAGTGTTACTGTTTACTCCCACAGTTGAAAGACATAAGTCGACTGTACATAGTAGATCAATCATAGGTGTGAATGTAAGAAGGACTACTATCGGCCTCCTGTCCAGCTTCAAACACTATAAAGACAGAAATAAATATACTGTAAGAGTGTATATTTAAGGTTGAATAAAGTTATATATTTGACACTGTATGTATTCTTATGCCATAATCAGACCTGTAGTGATGCATATATGCAGTTATACAGCACATGCACACCTCTTGGCATGGGGATCTACATTATATATTGGAAAAAATTTGCATCAAATTATGTTTTAAGTGCAAATCTGAGACTTTTGTTCCCTGACTTAAGCTTTAAAGACACCCTGGGTGAAGAGAAGAGCTGTTTTAAGGATTACCTTGAGGAACAAAAGCCTCTTCCTGTGCTGTTGTTCCATAACCAGTAAGCATGAAATGGATGAAATACCAATAGCTAGCTAATGGTGCACACGCACTAAACAGTATTAAACTTAACAAGCAAGCTGATCTGCATCTGTGTTTTGCTCTGTGAAAACAGAGTTATGGATAATAATAAGTTAATTTAGCCACTGTACTTCAACATACTACACTACAAGGAGTTGTAGCTGGTTATGAAACAGTCTCCGTTGATTACTGCTGCCTCTATATGACCTACATCAGCTATTTTTATGTAGTTATTCTTTAATGCCTGCCACCTGGTCGGATTTAGTCGGATTGCCCCTGAAATCAATGAAACGATGCGACAGAAACACTACCACTTTTGCTCACAGGGGCCGCCAGAATCAACAAAAAATCCATGTTCCTTGTTGCTGCTTTAAGTTGAATTTTAAGGTACTTTTACTTGAGTATTTAAATTTTTTGCTGCTTTATACTTTTTTGTTATTTGGTAGATACAGTTTTGGTTTGAAGACACGGCTGCTCCAATATAATATTTAAAAGTTTAATTTAATATTTGGTTTTGAGAGGTTAACATATACACTCACTCACAGATACACAAAGGCACTGCACATAGTTTTGGACTGCACATTGTGATTCACTATTTCCTTCCATATTGTCACATTGCTCAAAAAAAGAGACACACATCCACTCACACACACCTTTATTGCTGTTCATATTACAAAATCTGATGGTAATGCCATGCAAATCTGAGAAATCTGTCTCCACAAACACAATCTTATTTGTTTATTCAGACTCAGGCTCTGCTCACTTTGGAGACATCGAAAGCGAGCGAGCGAGCAAGATAGCTGACATAAAGGACCCCAAACGCCACAAATGGGATTTCAATCACTTTTAATCAACTTGAGTCCTTGAGGTTGGCTCTCTGTTGTAATATGCCTTTGCCTTGGCTGACACGAGCTGTGTCCTTCATGCTTCAGACTCTGCATCCCATCCATGCAGGATAATCCATAGCTCCATCAGCGGTCTCACCTGGCTTCCAGGACAGTATGTGGTAATGAAAACAGAGAGAGTGCTGTAATGCCGTTGATCCCAAAGAGTCAACTCTTTGTTGTTGTGCATTTCCCATCTTCCACTTGCTCTGTGTGTGTTTATTGCTTCGAGGAGGTGAAAATAGGAGATAAGCCGTCGACATGATAAGGTTTCCGTAGCAGCGCTGTTTGACGCGCGTGTCCATGAGAAGAAAAAAGAAAACAAAACCTTCCAGAGTTACATCTCTGCGGCATGAGATACTGTCTCTGTCTGACCCTTTCTCTTTCTCCATTGCTTATTTTTTCCTCTCTGCTTCTGCTCTTTGCCTTTTTTCCCTTTTTTCTCTCTCTCTCATGCACTCTCTCCCTTTTTACTGTATGCCTTCAATGGCTCTACCCATTCGAGGCCTGTATGGCAGCCTAGTGTTGCATAAGTACCCCCTCTCCCATCTGCAATTTCATGCTCTTGAGCCTTTTTACCTCTGTGCTTGATGACTTTTAAGAGAGCCGATATTGATTCTTATTAGGAGGGTGAGAGACCGAGAGAGACTATTAGAGAGAAAGGGAGAGTTGCCTGCTCGTGCTGGCCTGCAGGAAAGAGTGACAGAGCTGCAGAAGGGGGCAACTCTAGAGACTTACAGGAGCTTGTTGAGGGTCACTGGTTGTGGCGGTGATAGCTCAGTGGGGAGTCCCTGAGTGCCTGAGGTGAATGTGTTTGTATTTGGTCTCCTTTTGCTGTGATGCTGATATTGATGAAAGCCTCAAAGGTGACCAGTTCTGAGAAAAGTTTTGTAATTGAGTCCTTAAACCTGCGATGACTGATTTTTTTAGTCAGCGGAAACCAGTTTTGAACACAACATCGAAAT